CTCTCTCTCTCTCTCTCTCTCTCTCTCTCTGTGAGCATCTCAAGATCCATCACCTTCAGCTACAGTCATACACCTAAGCCCTACACCAAACTCGTCTCCCACCGCTCCTTTTGCTGCGCGTGCATGTCCAATCTATCATCACCACGCAAACTGAACAAGATAGCTTCACTTAGGTGCATGCACATAAGTCAGAAAGAACGATCAAAATAGTTGTGATCTCAGTTCAATATGACATGCAAAGGCTCTCTTCTACACTGGGATAATAGAGAAGTCACCCGATATGGGCTCGCATGTTCTCTTGCTTCTTCCCTTTTCTTTTGGTGCCATCTGGTGCGGTCAATTAGTATGGCTCGTCTTTAGACTTTAGAGAGAGGAGAGAGGCGAGAGGAGCGAGGAGAGAGAGATTCCGAAACATCAAATTAAGGAGATTAAAGAGTTGGCATAGGAAATGGCTAAAGTCTCGGAGAAATTGGCGGACTGCTGTTGTCTCCTTGGTAAAGAGGACGTGACTAATTATTTCCATGCACAGAGGTCGAGAAGAGAAGGTAGAGAGAGCACTGTCATGACACGCCGCTGTATCCTTTCCATCTATCTGTATCACAAGACCTTGCCGATGTACGTAGGAAGAAGAGAAGGTAGAGAGAGCACTGTCATGACACGCCGCTGTATCCTTTCCATCCATCTGTATCACAAGACCTTGCCGATGTACGTAGGAAGAAGAGAAGGTAGAGAGAGCACTGTCATGAGATAATCATGCACATACGTGTCGATCCTGCTGCACGTTTACGTGTGCATGGAAACACGCACGTATAGATATCGTTCCTTGCATGGCCCTTCGTGTACGTACATATTATATTGGATCGGGGCGAGGGAGTATACACAATTCTAATGCAAATCTCAGTACATATAACAACAACAGTTCGCTATTCAAAACTTATTTGCACTAAAGTGTTTAAAGCATTTAATGAACATTATCCTAGGAACAAATACGATAAATATGTGTCGTAAAATAGACCTAATATAATATTTAGTAATTTAACAATAGAACGCATAATTAAAGTGGGCCTTCTCATGTGGGCTCCTGAAAACGTACGTAGAGCCCAACAACTTGAACGATTAATACTCTTATATATCATTTACAAGAGTGTCACACATATATACTATAATGTGTGTATGATAATTCATGTATAAATCATAATAACAAAGATTATGATGAACTTGACGATGTTATATGTTAATAACATCGATCAAGGGTATGGGTAGATCTCAAAGCTTTTTTTTTTCCTGTACTCTTTCTAATATTTCATAATCTAAAATTTAGAGAAGAAAAATATCCAAATATAATAACAACAACAATAATTCCTATTAGAGCTGATGCCAAGAAATTTATCAAAGGATAATTTGGTAACCCAATAAAGATAATAAAATAAAAAATAAAAGAGACAATAACACCAGATTTACGTGATTCGATCAATTGACCTACATCCACGAACGAAGGAGAAACAAATCACTACTATAAAAGGGATAATTACAAATGCCTTAGGAAAATGTTCCTAGGCTATAAAACACCTAAAACTATTAAACAAGAAAACAATTAGGTTTTCTTGTGGTGCATTTGACTTCAAAGTCCAGACTTTTATTTATATTTGCAATAGGAGATAATAAGCTTGATTTTTCTAATGTGAAAATATGTGGGACTTGTCAAACTAACAAATCTCCACCTTAGCATGTCCCAACATTGACAATTAACAAAACTTGCTCCACCTTCTTCACAAAAGCCCCAACGGGCAATCACCAACAATAAACACCAACTAAGTCTAAGCATTGCTTGAACTTATAAACTGGAAGAGGTTTTGTAAGCATATCAACCCTTGCATCTTCAACCCCTGGAATACCTTCCTTCCTTTTGAAGACCCATTTGCATCCAACAATTTTCTTACCCGAAGGCGACTTCACAAGATCCCAAGTTCTATTCTGATGGAGAGATTCAATTTCTTCATTCATCGCAATCAACCACTTAGTGGAATTATCACAAAAAACTATATCTGAGTAGGTAGTAGGCTCACCAACTTCACTTGTTTCTTCTGCAACAGACAAAGCATATGCAACCAAATTTGCATATCTTTGTGGTGGTCGAATATCTCTCCATGGTCTATCCTTGGCTATGGAATATTGCTCTTCCTCTGGATCATCTTTGTTAGTAGACTCAGGACTATCTACTAGCATTCTTTGAGTAGAAGAGTTCGACTGAAAAGAATCAGAACTACCAATCTCAAGCTCCACCTGCTTCTACGCACTATCATTTGTACAATTAATAGAAGATAACAGAGACACTTCATCAAAAGTAACATCTCTACTGATTATAAATTTTGGGGATTTGGGATCATAATACCATAATTTGTATCCTTTCATCCCAAAAGCATACCCAAGGAAAATGTACTTTTTAGCTCGAGGCTCTAATTTTTCTTCATTTACATGTATGTATGTTGGACACCCAAAAAATTTTAAATCAGAGTAATCAGCAGGAGTACCTGACCAAACTTCCTTCGGAGTTTTAAAATTAAGTGCTACAGAAGGAGCGTGATTGACAATGTAACTGACTATATTAATCGCCTCTGCCCAAAAAGTCCATTTGTCAACCCTGTATTTGAGATTATACACCTTGCTCTCTCCAAGAGTGTTCTGTTTATACGTTCGGTCACACTATTTTGCTGAGGCATCATCCTAACAGTGCGATGTTGAATAATTCCTTTATTTTTGTATAATTCATCAAAGTTACTTTTATAAAATTTCATGTCATTATTTGTTCGAAGCCGCTTAATCTGTTTACTTGTTTGCTTCTCAATCAAAGCCTTCCATTGTTTAAAGGTTAGAAAAATATCACTTTTATGCTTCAGAAAATAAACCCAAACTTTCCTGGAATAATTGTGAAAGTTAACATAGATCTGGCACCACCCTTAGACTGTACATGAATTGGACCCCAAAGGTCTGAATGAATATAGTCAAGAGTACCTTTCGTTTTGTGAACTAATGGAGAATTGAAGTTGACTCTTTTCTGCTTTCCAAAAATGTAGTGTTCACATAAATCCAATGACCCAGTACTTTATCTGCAAAGGAGACCCTTTTGCTCAATATGCTCAAACATTTTTCGCTCGTATGACCCAAACGCATATGTCATAATTTGGTGATGTCAGAATCAGATAATGATGATGACGAGACTGTAACCGAGCCTGTGATAGTAGTTCCCTGTAAAATATATAAGCTACCAGACCTATAAGCTTTCATAACAATAAGGGCACTTCTAGAAACTTTCATAACTCCACCTTCAACTGCGTATTTACACCCAAGAGCCTCTGGGGTGCCTAAAGAGATGAGATTCTTTTTTAAATCATAAACATGCCTAACATTAGTGAGCGTCCTCATAATACCATTATGCATTTTAATTCGGATTGTGCCTCTACCAACAACATCACAGGCGATATTATTGCTCATCAAAACAATTTCACCGTTACAAGATTTATATGTGGAAAACAAATCTCTATTGAGACACATGTGATAAGAACAACCCGAATCTAAAATTCATTCATTTTTAGACCTTGTCCTGCCATCAATAGCAAAGAAAATATTTTCAGCATTCTCATCAACTGCTACACTAGCTTCAGCGGACTCAATAGTTTTCTTAATAATTCTTTTATTTTGCTTTAATTTATTTTTTAATTTAAATCAATCAGTCTTAACGTGGCCCATTTTATGACAATATCTGCACTTTAAATTTCTATGTCTGGATTTAGATCTATATTTAGATCTACTACTATCAAATTTCCTTTTATCTGTTGTACCCTTGACAACCAGACCCTCAGCCTGATTTCCTTTACTTTCCCTAGTGATATCCCTGTCTATCTGCTCCTTAGATTTTAGTACATATTTAATTTCCTAATATGAAATTATTTCTTTTCCATAAATCATAGTATCATGGAAATACTTAAAGGATTAGGGAAGAGAACACAAAAGTAACAACACCTTATCCTCGTCATTAATTTTCACATCTATATTCTCCAAATCCATAACTAAGGAATCAAATTTATCAAGATATGAGAGTATAGATGTACCTTCAATCATCCGAAACATATACAAACTCTGCTTTAAGTAGAGACGATTCTCCACTATCCTCTGTATATAGAAGGCTTTAAGCTTGTCCCGTATGCTCTTAACCACAGTCTCCGTAGTTACTTCCCGTAAAACTTTAGCTCCCTGTAGTGCCAAATCAACTCCGTCTTAAACTAGAATGACTTCCATTTTGAGCTGCCACATGCTGAAGTTGACATTTCTATCGAATTTCTCGACAACGATCTTTGTTATTGTCATCATTGCTAAAAGATCCCGAAACCATGCTCTGATACCAATTTGATAGAGTTGATCCCAAGAAATTTACCAAAGGATAATTTGGCAACCCAATAAAGATAATAAAGCAAAAAAATAAAAGTGACAAGAACACTAGTACGTGGTTCAATCAATTGACATACATTCACGAACGAAGGAATAACAAATCACTACTATAAAAAGGATAATTATAAATGCCTTAAGAAAATATTTTTACGTCATAAAACATTTGAAACTACTAAACAAGAAAAGCCCAAAGCAAACAATTAGGTTTTCGGTGCATCTGATTTCAAAGTCCAGACCTTTATTTATAATTGTAATAGGAGATAACAAACTTGATTTTCCTAGTGGGACTACGTGTAACTTGCTGGTTTGGAAACGGAGGAAACCATTCAGCATGTATATTCTTAATTAAAATTTCAAATAGTCACATCTGGACATGTATCTCATGTCGAATGGATCAGATTAGCGTGTAAGAATTAATACACGATAAACAAACAAATAAAATAACTTTCCGTGGCTTGCATGGCCATTTCCATGGTAGCACAAATCGATTTGAGAACTGACTTTCCTCATCCTCCTGCGTTACACTTTTCCATGTCTAATCACCTGTCCTCCATTTTCCTGCGCATAGTACGATTTTGGAGATTGAGTTCTGCGGAAAAAGATGTTGGAGAATAAGTCAGCATATGATGATGATGCCTCATCATTCGTTGATCATTTCCTTATGGCTTGTCTCTTTTTTTTCCTAAATAGGATATTTTAGTGCTGCCTTTAAACTTATTATTATAACCAATTAAGATTCACTATACTAACTAAAAATGTCACATCAACATGATATATAAGAGAAATATTTTTTTGATTTTGAATACTTGATCTTTTATAATTGATGATTATTACTGAAACAAGTGTTATGCTTCAAACGTAGTATAGACTCGAACTCTTTAAGAAGTCTTATTCCAAAGAACATTAGCTTAATCACGAGAGAAATTTTAATCGACATATTCGTCATAATTTTTATAAGAATATACTAGCGCATGATATGAATTGTAATTCTCGAATGGTATCCGACAAACTTCTTCGCCTCTTCAAAGATAAATAAGGTTAGATCAAT